AAGATAATTGTACTACTAATATTTTTAGTTCATTGACAAGAACAGTTAGTGCTTATATTGTTTTATCAATTTTGCATGTTTATATTTTGTAATCTGAGCAACTATTTTGAAATTGACAATAAGAAATATAATAACTTTTTAATTTCTCATCATTTTGTTTTGAAATTGTGTATTGTTTTTATTGGGTTTTTTCCTCTTTAAAACAAAAAGAAAAAAGAAAAAAGAAAGAAGGGGAAAGATATATTTGTGTATGCATGCAGGATAATTTGGATAATTGTACTGGTGATTTCTCCTGGTATTTTAAAAAGAACAGCTAATGCTTAAAATATTTTTTATTCTCATTTTTTCTTTTTAATTTATTGTAACTTTGTTGTTGATTTTTTAAAATCCAATGTTGCAGGTTTATATTTGGTAACCTAATCAACTAATTTGAGCATAACATCATGCAGTACAGCAATCATTGTTGAATTCCTGTTATTTTGCTCAGTGAAATTTTGTATCATTTCTGATGCTTTTTTTTTATTATTCTTTATTCTTTAAAAAGTTGAAAAGAAAGAGAATTGGAAATCAGGATCAGCTAGAGCAAATTGACTTTTCTAAGTAAAAAGTAGGAGTTTGCTTAAAACTTTATTACAGCATGAGTCAGCTTTCATTTTGATTTTCTAAAATGCTGCACCATAATATCTATCTGAAAGCCTGAGTGGCTGGTGCCCCGGAGTTTGCACACACAGTGGATGCCTCATCTGCCTAACTCTGACCCAGCCCTGCTTAGTCTAAGTAGGATAGGGCAAGGGCAGAGCTCTGGAACAGGGGAAGCTTGGTCCCTGGAGGAAGAAAGAATATAAGGCTTGCAGAGCAGGCAATGTGGGTAGATAGCTTAGTGGGACCCAGGTCATGGTCTGCATAGGTCTTAGTCTTGGCTATATTTTTAAATTTCTCTGAGATCTTTAAGGTCCTACTCACCCCAACCCTCCCCCATGTTGACAGAGTCCTTCTCTAGAGGTGTCCCAGGCCTCAGATGACTGAATATGCAACAAGGTTAGGATGTGCTGATGTAGACGTTTCTCCTGAGTGGTGACTCCTGAGTCAGCTGACAGCTCAGTGAATCTGCCTCCCTTTCTCCTTCATCATCACCCTACCACTCAGCCCCCAAAGTGGCGCACCCTCTTCATAAGTTCTCCTGAACATTTGAAGGAGCTGGCGTGATTTAGAAGATCCTGATGCCTTAGACCCTTCTCAGAGCCATTGTTTCTAGTGGCTGGGCTGTGGCTGTCTTACAGAGGACATGGGAAGATCCTTTGCAGCCTCTCTGTGACAATAGCAGGAACTGGGCAGGTTGAGTGGGAGGAGCATTTGCAGGTCTTGGGCTCATGACTGGCTGTGTTGCACAGCCCACTGATATCAATGGATCTGCCTTCAGGAGCATTATTTGTCATTTCTTGTTAATATGTGTGTCTAATACAATCATCATTTATATCCTAACCAATGCAAGTATATTATCTTATTAATATTTCCAGGCAGGCATGCTCAACTTGATTTTTCTTGGCTTTGTCCATTTCAGAAGCTTAAAACTCCCTAGTTATCAATCTTCTCCAGTGTAATATTAATTAATAAATAAAAGTGATCTTCACGGTCTACATCCTCTTCAACTAATGGAATTGGAGCAGATGTCTGGCTCTTCCCTAGCACAGCCAATCAGAGTCATTTCAAAGATCAGAGTACAAGTACAGACTGGACAATACACTATGCCCACAACTGTCCTCCTTGGCACTGCGTTAGGAGAAACTGGGCCCTCCTTGTCGGTGACCCTAGATCTGGTCTTGTCTTGCAGATTGTTACCACAATGTATGCGTTTTCCTAGCTCGGGAAATGGATGCTGTGCTGCTGTCTGTCGGGTGAGTTTCTGAGATAGTTCTCAGCTTTTCCATGGTAAGAAGAAGGTTGTGTGTGTGTGAGAGTGTGTTCCTGGATGAGTGCAGCATAGCAAGTACCTGACCAAGAGGCACTCATGGATATGGGGCCACAGTACTGGCACAGCTCCATTCAAAGCAGCCTAGATGGAAGCCCACTTCAGGAGAGTGGCAGAACAGCTCACTACATGGCCCCTAAGCTGTTGGGGAATGTTTTATTACCAATTACTAATAATATGGAAAGGTTTAAAATGATGCGGATGGAGACCCAGGCCTAGCCCAGGCCCAGTGAGTGTGCAGGAGAGCTTCTGGCTACCCTGTGCCAGTGGGACCTATTGGTCCCAGCCCAGGTGCAGAGTGGGTGAGATCCTCTTCCACCCCCTTGGGGTGCCCCCCAACACTCTGCAGAACCTCCCCCACCCCACTCGCCAAGTAGGAATTTCTACCGCATTGCAGAAACCTCCAGACCCAGTCCTAGCCCAGGCCCAATGAGTGTGTGGGAGAGTTTTAGGCTACCCTGCACCGGTGGGATGTACTGGTCGCAGCCCAGACGCAGTGTGCGTGAGGCCCTCTTCCACGCCCTTGGGACACGCCTCACCACTCCGCAGCACCTCCCCTATACCACCTGAACCATAGGAATTACTGCCATGTTCTGGGAACTCCCAGATCAAGTTCTAGCCAAGGCCTGGTGAGTGTGTGGGAGAGCTTCTGGCTACCCTGTACTGGCGTGATCTACTGGTGCCAGCCCAGGCACAGCATGGGTGACACCCTCTTTCACCCTCTTGGGATGCCCCCTATCACTCCATAGTACCCCCACACACACACCACAGAGTAGGAATTTCGGTTGCATTCAGGAACACACCGAGACATATAATAGTCAGTATCACAGAAATTCAGCACAAGAATAATATACTGAAAGCCGCTAGAGAAATGAAGCAGATCACATTCAAAGGAAAACCCATCAGCATTACAGCCGACTTCTCTCCACAAACCATGAAGGCAAGAAGAGCATGGAGCAGAGTACTTCAAGTCCTCTATGAAAACAAATTCTAGCCCAGACTACTATAACCTGCAAAATTCTCCTTCAAATTTGATGGAGAAGTGAAATACTTTCATGACAAAGAAAAGCTAAAGAATTTCATGATGACAAAGCCAATCCTTCACAGGCTACTGAAAGATGTTCTAGAGAGGGACCAAAATGATCAGAAGCAGCCAACTACAAGGTCAGTGAAATCCCCTTTCACCATGTGAAAGAGTCACATGGTGAGAAAACATTCTCTCAGAGAGCACATTAGCCAACCAATGGCCGTGACTCATCCACATGGCTGACACTGACTAAGATTCTACAATCTGAGGTACAGGATCTCACGATAAATCCTGAGGGGACTTCACTGATCTTATCAGACCCAAAAGCTACAACTCTTGTTGCATAGGTCCTGCTTTACCTTGGTCTTTACTATCCAGCAGAAAAGTATAAAAACGAAATATGAGAATTAAAGCCATGCTGTTATGTTGAGCTGTAGGGGACTCAGGTCAACAATTTCTGACATTGCCAGTGAAGCTGAAGACCCAATACTATTATGGGCTGCTGGAATCTTTTAGAATATTTTGCTGAGGTAACACACCTATAATATTCAAATAACGGAACTTAAAAAAAAGGGGGGATACAGATGAATGTCCAGTTTTGTACCTGTGTATTCAAAGTGGTTAGGATAGATATATAGTTACATTCTCTTAATGAATAGAGGGATTTGTTCTAATAGTGTTTGTGAATAGGATATCATGTCCGCATCTTGTACAACAATTAACCACTAGCAAGAATGTATGCAATGTGTTAATTATTGAAGCTGTCCTACCAATTTGCTTTGAAACTGTCTGATTGCTATTTGTTTCTCAATGAAATTATGGAAAAAAGGAAATAAAATAAAATGATGTGGATGAACCTTAGAAGCATAATGTTAAGGAGAAAAAACTTTTAAAAATCCATAAACCTATTACAGTGGTTCACGCCTGTAATCCCAGCTCTTGTGAGGCTCTAAGCAGGTAGGTCACTGTGCGTCTGATCTCATCATGAGACCCTGAACACCCTGTGGACCCTTCCCTAAAATAAAAAATACATATACTTATTATTCTTTTATTTTTATTTTTTTTTCTTTTCACAACAAAATAGTCCTTTTTTATACTTTTGCAAATGTATTTATTTTTTATTTTTTATTCATTTTAATGACAGAAAACAATAAAATAGCAATGAAACAGTTTCAAAATGGGTTAGTAAGATTGTTACAATGATTAATACATTGCTTATTGTTGTCTTCGCAGTAGTTATTCAGAGGACAAGATGTAGACATGATATCTTGCCTAAACACTATTATTACAAACCTTTCTTCTCATTGAACTAAAAGAAAGTAGCTGTATATCTATCCTATCTTGTGTACACATATATGTTTTTCACAACAAAATGGCATTTTATTAATACTTTTGCAAAGTTAGTATCATGTGACACAGGTTTCCAAATACGGCTTCTCTAACTGCAATTGGCCACACATCTCTGACAAAACAAAATTAAAAAGGTGGATATGCTGAAGCCATGGAAGCTAGGAAATCGGCCAAATGTGTGTAGGCAGGACTAGACCTCAGTGCCTAAACAAACAACCTACCTCAGCCCTGAGTTAAACATCCTGTCTGGTTAAGTCAGCTATTAGTCAGTAGGAAGCCTATTATTTGTTTTAAAGTCTAAGACAGTTTAAATCAAAATAATAACTTTTGTAAGTCTACATATTTCAAACAGAACCATGTCACACAGAGAAGGGGAAAGGTGGTGTATTCAGCACTCAAGGTAACCCTTCTTCCTTGTTGGGGCAACATCTATTGGGAAAAGATGCAGTGAACAGGGATGGCTGAAGGTCATGGCCAAGGTCCTGGCTGTGGTTGGGGTGATGGTTATGCAGATTCTTATTGTGTCATTCAGTAATCACCCACCTACCTACCAAGTGCCAACTGTCAACTACATAGGGACCAAGTAGAGAGCATCTTAAAAGAAACTTTGGTCTTTTGGAAACAGGATTGCACTTGCATTGATGGAAGGGGTATGAGGGCAATTCACTAGGATTCCAGTTCTTGTTCCTAGAGATCTTTACAAGTAAGGAAGAGAAAGTTTAGGAAGACAGGTGAGAGAAACCAAAAAGAACTGTGTAAGTATCTGAATGCCAATGGCCTCCTTCTATCCTTGGTTGCTTCCAGACAAATAGAGAATGCAGCTCTGGGACTCCATTGAGCCATTGACTCTGGAGACACTGAAGAGGGCTGAATATTTCCAGTACACAGTGGCTCACAACACTGGCTACCAATGTGCTTGAACTGGTGACATTAGAACCTGTGTTTCCAAAGGCCTTGGGAATAATTAATTTCCCTTGAACAAGTAGCACAGAAAGGTACGAGTGAGTACCAACTTTGACATCTGAAGTAGCAAGCTCAGTGTATCTTTGATGAAGTATCTGTGGAGACTTAGCTTGTGGGTCATTCCAGTTCCAATGGAATGATTGGTGGAATGATCAGGCAGAGGGAGTACTTGGGGCTGTAAGAGGCATGCAGTGGGTGATGCCTTGGAGGTCATGCCTCAAGGACACTGAAATGGAGAATTTCTCTCCTCTCCTTTCCTTTTTCTGGCTGAAAGCTACTTCACCTGGACTTTTGTCTTCATTTTCCTATTCCAACACTAATAGTCAGTGGGAGTAATACCTCATAATTACATCTTTTGACCAAGGGGTGGTAAAGACCAGACTGGGACAGACATTGCAAGCATATGGACTTCTACACAAGTGAAGTTTTATGGGGTAGGGGTTTAAACCAAAAAGGGGCTTTGACTGGAGTGAATGAACAATTTTTCAGACAGAATGACCCAAGGAGCCCTCTGGGAACCTGAAGTAGAAGTATCACAAGTTGAAGATTAGCATGGGGGTAGATTAGAGACATAGTGAGACACTGTCCCCAAAGTAAAAACAGAACTTCTGGAGATTTAATTCAGTGTGAAAGTTCAGATTCTAATCTAGTTTCATCTCAGTGATACAGCACTTGTCTAATATATACAAGGTCCTTGGTTTGATCCTTAACACTACAAAAAGAAAAAAAAATCTCATTTCAGCACAATCTTGGACTTACTTGGACTACTAGATAGTTATAGTGATCATGTTCTAGAGGCTGTGGAATTTCTGTGTATCTAGCATTATTGTCCAGTGTAAAACATATAGGCCTTCTACTAGATAAGAAAAAAAGGGGATCTCCTTTGCTCAGGAACTGCTGAATTACTCTTATAGCTGGCATCATCATGCATGAAAGAGTTCAGTCTTCTGAAAACAAAAAAACACGAGGGTGGGGTAGGAAGACATACACCAGTAGCAATAGTAAGTAGATCCAACTGACCCCATGCCATTGTCTTGTGCAAAACTATCAATATGCAAAACTTTGTAGAATCTGACTCAAGGATAGGTGAAAGCAGCAAAGGGAACAGACACAATAGGAAGATAGATTCCAAATTGGTGATTCCAGTTTGGTCACTCATTAGAAGTCAGTGGCCTGCAGGAAAAAGTGTTCTCAGCAAAAGCAGCTCTCAGGTCCCTGGAAAGTAAATGGAGGATCTGGTGTCAGAATCCAGATGGTAGGGGTGTTATTTAAAGTAAGATTAGAGGGGCTGGTGAGATGGCTCAGTGGTCTAAATCACCTACTTAGAACAAGCTTAGCAAAGCACAGGGACCGTGGTTCAATCCCCCAGCACCACATGCCAGCCAGCCCTGGCCCCTGGTGGGCTGAGCTGGCGCCACACACACACACACACACACACACACACATAAATAAATAAAATTAAAGTAAGATTAGAGAGAAACTAATAATATATTATTCAGATGTGTGAACTCCAAAACTAGTGATTTTGAATGGACAGAGAGGAAATGAAGCTAGAGAGCTTCTTTAGGCTTGTTCATGGTGACAGTTTCTTATTTTGTTCAGATATCATGCATTGGTGACTTTATCCGGGTCTCATGATGGACCCAATGAAAAATGTCATGCTACAAAGGCTACCATTATTTGATTTTTATCATTCTGAGCTTCTGTTACACCATAGTCCCATCAAGTGTTCATTAACTGACTCAGGATGCCCAGTAGGTCCACTTGCCATTTTTCTCTCCTCACTGCTTATGCCTCTTCCAAAGTCAATAGCTTTCAACTTGTATGATCTTGTGTGGAGTGTGTGTGTGCACGGGAAACATGAGCTGGGAAGTTAGACTCCTAGAAGTCAGAACTTAGGGAAGTTCTTCATATTAACAAAGGAAAACAATGGAGATACCAACAGTTACATCTTAGAGTCATTCTGAAATCCTAACTGAAGAAGGTCTCCCAAATGTTGTAGATGACACATCAGGTCAGATGGATTGCAATGACACCCGTGAGCAGTTTTCTTTGTCTCCTCTTTCTTCTTTAGATACCGAATGCTTCCTGACTACCACTACCCTGTCATTACCAGGGACAGTCTGAATGCCACCATCCACTTCCTGAAGAAACTGAAAACCTATGGCGTGGACCCTTCCCGGGTTGTGGTGTGTGGGGACAGCATTGGAGCAGGGGTTGCAGCCCAGGTCACCCAGGCTTTGTTGGGCCAAAAAGATCTTCCCAAGATCCGGGCTCAAGTTCTAATTTATCCAGTTGTCCAGGGCCTCAATTTCCAGTTACCATCCACTCAGCAGAACAAAAATGTGCCATTCCTCACCCTGGACTTGTTGATGATGTGCATTTGTAAATATATGGCTATTGACCTCTCCTGGAAAGATTCCATGCTGAAGGGTGCTTGTATTCCCCAAGAGACCTGGAAGAAGTACAAGAAATGGCTCAGCTCTGACAACATCCCCAAGAGTTTCAAGAACAAATACCAGGAACCCCTGTTTCCTGGGCCTTTTAATGAGACTGCCTATCTGGAAGTGAAACATATGTATTCTGTGGAAAATTGCCCCATCCTAGCAGATGATGAAACCATTGCTCAGCTTCCTGACCTCTTCCTAGTGACCTGTGGTCAGGACATCCTCCGTGATGATGGCTTGCTCTATAAGAAGCGCTTGGAAGACCAGCAGGTCCCAGTGAGCTGGTACCATGTGGATGATGGCTTCCATGGATGCATACTTTTATTTGATAAGAAGCCTTTCTCTTTCTCATGTGCCCAGAATATTTTAAATGCTATAATCCGTTATGTAAAGCACATATGAGAGTAACACAGGGACTATGAGGAGCATGGGTCCAGGGTGCCTCTGCCACAACTTAGGATTCTGCTGAGTTCTATTTTATTGCAGAAAAAGAAGCTAATCCATCCTGGCCCAGTTAGGGAGGATAAGATGGAGTGAACTCTCTGGATTTCATTCTCTGTTTTCCTTCCAGTACTATCACTGTTCATTCTTGCATTTAGCAGGATTCTGTAATGTTGAGAAATAAATATCAAAGGATGAGGAAAAAAAAAAAACCTTTAAATTTGTCCTTAAGCTTTAACCCATAGATCTCTGTAGAATAGGTGGCAACAACTTGTTCCACTGTCCCTGGTGAACTCAGAATCATGATGAAAGATCATTGCTGGGACCATGTGCCTACTGGATGAAGGGTCACTTCATTGCTACTAGTTCCATGTCACTAATAAAATCCCACATCTGAGTGGCTCCAGCTTCCCTTGACACATTCTTGCAACTCACCTTTTCTTGATCCAAATATCCAAGGAGTAGACTACAGTAATCTTTTGGGGCGAAAGTGAGATACAAGGCAGAAGCAAGAGGAGACATATCAAAAAATGGTGAGCTCCAGAGAACCAGGAGCTTTATCTGGACTCAGGTCTTTAATGGGAATTCTTAAGAAAGACACCTAGTTTCAAAGAGGTTTTTCCTTAGAGCTGAGGGTGTATTGGGAAGCTCTAGATGTCATCTAGGGCATGGAAAGTATATTCTTTGCATGTCTCCCCTTAAGTTGGAGTCTCAAGTCATCAGTGTCCTGACAGAGCTCAGCACTTTTGCCTTTATGAGGTTAATCACATTGCCTTATGAAGTCACCCTCTCCAAATGGCACTCTCATTCATAAAGAAGTAACAGAGAAACAGATGAGCCCCAGTAGCTATGAGATTTCTCACATTATGCAATCATTATATAATTTAGCCATTCATGCTGCCAATGTTGCCACATCCTATCTGTAGCAAGCCAACCATGTCTTTTGCACACCTGGGGATCACATTGGGTGTACACAGCATGGGTGAGGGATCACAGGGCCACTTCAGGATCTGCTCTACACAACAGGGCACAAAAGAAGATGATGGCGAAAAACAGTAAATCTGACTTGTTGGACCAGAACACACAGGCTGGTCCACAATTCTGGGTGAACTGCACCTTCTAGATCTAGTGACCTTCCTCAACTCTACCTCCTTTCTTATTCTACATCACTTTTTATTCTCAGAGCATCTTCAGACCTCCATCAAACCTCTTCCCAGACTGTTTATGACAGCTGCCTTCTGTCCTTGGGCCATCAAGACAGAGAGGATACACAAGCTTTTCCTCTTAAAATTCTATTAAACTCAAGAACACCAGATCCATTCTTAAGATCCATTAATCTCTATGGACATAGATGAATCTCATTCAGGAACACATAAAAAACCATGGACAAGTACCAGTGACCCAGACAACCTAACATCACAGTGGAATAGTTGATGAGCAAAAATGTAAACATCACAGGACTCTTTTGAGGGATGGGTGGAAACAGGTGATTTTGGCCTCCTCTTATCATTTTACCAGAGAAGAATGAGCTATTTCAAGAAAATGACTTTAAGAAGTTGGGGAAAATCCACAAAGAAAGGGATGGAGGAGGCATAAATGAGGTGGTGTCAAGAGTGTCAGCAGGGCCCACGGAAATCACTCAAGTCTTTTAGGAACATAGAGAAGAATCCAGATTTAATTTAATCCTGTTGCCAACTAATGTTCCTAATCAGGGAAACAAATAGACTCATTTTGTTTTAGAAAAAAAAATGTTCTGGAGGAAAGCAGAAAACATTGCCAAGGACCAAATGATGGGAGAAATGCTGTAACAGAATCCAGGCCTCTCTCTCTCTCTCTTTTAGAGAGCAAATGCATAACCCAACTGTCTCAGTTACTCTTCTGTCATTGCTGGGACAAATAGCCAACACCAAAAATGAAGGAAGGAAAGATTTATTTAGCTCACAGTTACTGGAGGTTTCAGTCCATACTCAGCTGGGTCCAATGTAGACTGGTACATGACAGAGAGCAACCTCTCATAGCTGCGGCAAAGAGTAAGACAGTAAAATTGAGCAGTAGCAGTAACAATGGCTGCAGAGAGGAAGTCTGTCTCTCTTAATCTGAATTCAGACTATCAACCCCAGGCTGAGGGAAGTACACACACCCACAATCCCAGCAGTACTAAGACTCATAATCCCAGTGGAGCATGAGTTAATCTCAAACTCTAGAAGTCCCTGTCCCATGACTACATGAGGCTTTGGGGGGACAACTAGACACAAACCATAACACCAACATAAATTAAAGATAAAGGAACCAAAGGAAACTCACTAGGTTGAGAAAAGCCAGGAGGAAAGAATGGCAGCAATGGCTATAATATTGAAGAGAAGGAAGGGAGTTGTAGTCCTGAGGTAGAGAGAGCCTCAGAATTAAATGAGATGAGGGGAGCAGAGAGGGAAAAGTGGACACCATCAAAGGATGAGCAGAATGTAGAGCATGGAATGAGCAGGATGTGGACACTGGATTCAGACACCTTGTTTGCACCACAGGGTTTCTGTTCACTGATCACGTGATCTCAACAAGGCATTAACCCCTCATGCCCCAGTTTGCACATCTGTAAAATGAGTACAGTTACAGTGCCTGCTTCAAAGGTCATCATCAAGTTTAAATTAATAAAATATTAAAGTTATGAGATATTAAATCAGTGGCTGGTACACAGTTAGAACTATAGGACACTGGTAATTATTACATGAGCCAATAACTTGTATAATGAATATTGGACTCTAAAGAATATCAGAATCAACAGGTAGAGGCTGCTACAATAGCCAAAGATGAGGCAGAAAAATCTAGCAGAGGCCAGTCCTGCTACACGTCTTGGGCTGGCCAGGAGCTTGTTTGAGAGACTGTGGCCCCAAGGACAGCAGAGAAGTTTGCTATGGTGCAGTGGGCAAGGTGGGGGCACAGAAGTTTTCTTCTGGGGCCCCCAAGCTTGAGGCAGAGTCAAAGAACTGTGTTCTTATTCACATGAGTAGCTCTGTGCGCTCCAGAATTGTGAATTTGAGAGAGATGGCACTCTTTAAGATCAAAACATTCTCGGGCTGGTGAGATGGCTCAGTGGTCTAAGGCACCTACTTAGAACAAGCTAAGCCAAGCAAGGCACAGGGACCTCGGTTCAATCCCCCAGCACCACATGCCAGCCCGCCTGCCCCCTGGTGGGCTGAGCTGGCCACATACAAATAAATAAATAAATAAATAAATAAATAAATATTTAAAAAAAATAAATATGCTTTCCTAAAAAAAAAAAAAAAAAAAAAAACAAACAAACATTCTCTGCACCCTGCAAGAGAGTAGCACACACTTTCAAGATATAAGCTGTCCTCTGGCACCTTGACTTTAGTAGGCCACTCAGCTTTCATGTAGCTCAGCTGTAAGATCTCTTACCATGGACAAGAGGCCACAGCTATCTGTTATTTTCTATAAAAAAAACCCTGATGGGATGTGATGTTGTATAAAGTGCCATGTGGGTGAACATGGATTTCTATGAGTACATAGATGATGATGGTGGTAGAAGAATCCTGGCAGGCAAAGTAAATCCACAACCAGACTGGATCACTCAGGACAAACCTCCACCTCTGCTAGGGTAGGACACTTCCAATATGATCTAATCCTCCAGCTGATGAGCCTGGCTTGTTTCACTGGGCAACAGCGCCATCTTGTGGATGGGGTATTGGTCCCCGCTGGTGATGGAGTATGTACACCTGGCGGTGGTAGAAATTAAATTGAACTTTATAGAGGTCAGCTGTAGGTGTGTTCTTTTCCTATAAGCACAGTGACATTGCCAAAACCACAGTGGCATAACCAACCCAAGTACATTTTCTTAACAGTTCTGACTGAGCTCAGAAGTCTAGAATGGTTTGCAGAACTGCTTTCCTACTGCAGGCCCTAGAGAGTAAGTTTTTCCTGTTTACCAGTTTTCAAGCACCTCCTTAACCGGTATGGAGTCCTTCTTCCGAGTTCAAAACCGGTAGTAAAAAGCAGAGCCACCTAGCAAGGAGCTCGCAGGTGAGGTTGAGTAAGGTGTTAATGTTCTACCTTCCAGCTTGAGCTCTTATACTGTAGTGTCTTTGCCCGGGATTTTTTTTTTTTTTTTTAATTTTAGTACAAGGTCTAAAGGGCCTACAGTGTCTCACTATGTAGATTGGACTCATAGTGATCCGCCTGTGTTCAGCCTCCCAAGTGCTGAGATTAAAGGCGTGCACCACCACGCCTAGTCTCAATCTCTGTCTCAGCATGCCCCAAGAGTGGGGATGGCACAGGACCCAGGGTTTGGAACCCCAGCCACTGCATCTGCCTAAGCAGACATTTTAATCTGCTGAGCTATTTGGCTGGCCCTGGGGAATTTTTTGTTGATATTTTTGGGGGTGATTTAAAATGACCCCTAATCTAAACATAGTACTGAAATAGTGTTCAGTATTCCTAAATGTCAGATGGTTACGATGTGTTTTACAGAAAAAAAATGTTTTATTGCAGGTGAGTGTATTAGAGTTGACTATGAATTGAGAGTTAATGAATCAGGAATATATATTAAATAAGGAGTAGTCTTCAAATAGAAACACATGCAACATTTTACTATAGTTACTGATCAATTGGTAAACATGTAGCCTGAGGCATAAAAACACCGTAATTCTGTATTTTCTCTGGGTCACTGGCATGCTATTTGCTATTTCAGTGCTGTTCAATGTTTCCTGGACCCCATAGAACAACAACAACAAAACTATCTTGAATAACTCAAATTGATGAAATATGTTATCTTGCAAGTAAAAGCAATGTCTGCCAAACATTGTGGTCAGTGGAGTGAGGTCCAGTGATATATCTTACACTTCAGAGTAAATATTTGAATATTTTCCACATCAAAGAATCCTCAGGAAATATCTGCAGTCTTGGGCTTTTCAATTTTCATACAGAATTTATCTCCCAGTTTTTAGTTT